ACTTATCTCCGCAGTTCTCATTCCACCTGTATCTTTCTTCTCTAAAACTATTGTAAGTTTTAAGTTGTGTTGTGTCTTTTTCTATTATAAGTTGTAACTTGTAAGTAGTGTTAGTACTGCTTATTGTTGTTTGTTTGTGTTATTTTAGGTTTATGTGAATGAAAAAGAAAGTGTGTTTTTAGTGATGTAAATAGAAAGTAATGTTTGAGCTTTCATTTAATATTTTGGGCTAGCATTAAAAATAAGAGGTGTTCTTTTCTTTTTCTTATAATTTTGTCTAGGTTTGAGGGGGAAGATCTCAACAACAACAACATCAAGCCTTTATCTAACTACCTGGAGTCGGCTACATGAATCCTTTTTCTTCATTGTATATGTTAAGAGTAAAATTCTCATTTAAATTTAATAAAAAAGGTCATTTCTAATTTTTCTAGCCTAGTCTGTTTAGGTCTACCTCTAACTTTTTTAACATAGACTAAATTCAATACATCTACTCTCCTAACTAGGTCCTCGAAAGGTCAACGTTTTATGTGTCCAAATCATCTAAGGAGACTTTATCTAATCTTATATGCCACTGGTCCTGCACGAGCGGGTGGAGCCACGAGGTCGGCCTTGTGGAACCGGTTGGAGCTCGACTGGGCGGGTGGGCTGTGTGTGAGTTGCGGGGCGACTGGAGAGGTCAAATGGGACTCAGGTCAATTTCGGGTCGAATTCGGGTCAGCGGGTTAACCTGTACCTGACTTGATTTTTTAAATGGATCTAAAAATTGAAACTCGAACTTGACCCGTTTGTTAAACAGGTTGACCCGAACCCAAATTTTTTATGTCGGGTAATCGAGTCGAGTCAATAATTTACACCCCTAGGCCCTAGCGTAAATATAACAAGAAGTGTGCAAGGACTGTTGCACTAACACCTGGCTATTGTATTAATAAGCAAGAGTTCCTACATCATTGACGGATGCTGGTAAAGAAGCTTGTCCTTGAAACTATAATTTGGATAGGAACTTGAAATATAAGTTCTGTTACAGTTAAATTAATGAAATTAATAAATATTATAATTTATAGGAAGATAAATTTTTATGTATTCAAGAAATTAAATGGGTTAGAGAGAAGGATAAGGACTTGATAATTTAAAATTTAAATTATGATATTTAAGTAGGAATCTTAGAAGAAATGATTTAATTGTGATTATAGATAAGAGTTTGAAGAATAATATTGTAAAATTAATAAAATTGAAGATAAAATTATAGTTTTAAAGATTATTGTTAATATTAAAAATATTAATATTATAAGTGTTTATGCACCTCAAGTTGGTTTAGATATATGTTCAAAATTAAAATTTTGTAATGACTTAGAAGAATTAATATAATGGATACCTCATGAATAAAGAGGTTTTATTGGAGGGGATTTAAATGGACATATTGGTAGAGTGATAGAAGATTTTAAAAACATTCATGGTGGTTATGAGTTTAGAGCAACTAATGAAGGTGATAAGATCATATTAAATATTTAAATTTTGCTATAACTTATAATTTTATAATTTTAATATCTTATTTAAGAACAGAGAGGAAGATCTGATTACTTATAAGAATGAATATAGTAAGATTTAGATTGATTATTTTCTTATAAGAAAATAGTTTGTTTAGATTGTGAAGTTTGTAAAGTTATTATGAGTGAAAGTTTGTGTACCTAGCATTGCTTATTAGTTTTGGACTTTAAGATGAATGAGCGGAATAAAAAATAAAATATAATGTTGTCCTTGGATTAGATGAGGGCTTTCAAAAAATGCTAAAAATAATTTATGTGTAAGTTTCTTGATCTTAAGATTTTGATTGTGCATGAAAAAACTGATGTTATGTAGAAAAAATAGCTAGTAATATTAAGAATATTGCAAAGTATGTGTCTAGAGTATCAAAAGAAAAAACTCATAATAGTAAAAATAATTAGTGGAATCAAAATATGCAGGAAAAAATAAAAATAAAAATTTTATTATAAATTTTGGTTTAAATGTAAAATCTCAGAAGGAAAGATATAGAATGGCTCGTAAGGACTTTAAACAAGCAATATGCGCAACAAATAATTTACTTTTTAATGATTTATATAATAGATTAAGGAAGGTGAAAAATGTATGTATAAGTTTGCCAAGTAAAGAGATAGGAAAAGTAAAGATTTAGTTCAAGTGAAGTGCATGAAGGATGAATATTAAAAAATATTTTTATTAGAAGAGGATATTTAATTAGGTGGATGAGATATTTCGATAAGGTTTTTAATGAATATTATAAGAATACAATTGATTTTAATGACCTTAGCATCATATATGAAAATAAAGATTTTTTTTTATCATCGTATTATTAGTAAAGGCGGCCTTCCGATGACCCGGTTAGGAGAGTAGAGGTATTAGATTTGACTTGTGTTAAGAAAGGTAGGGGTAGACCTAAAAAGACTTGGTTAGAAAATATTAGGAATGACTTTTCTTTATTAGATTTAAACGAGAATTTGACTTTTAATAGGACACAATGGAGAAAAAGGATTCATGTAGCCGACCCCACGTAGTGGGATAAAGGCTTGATGTTGTTGTTGTTGTTGTATCGTATTATTAGTAAAGTCAAAGTTAGAGAGACTTTAAAAAAATAAAATGTGAAAAAGTTGTTGGACCTGATGATATTTTAACAGAGGTGTGGAAATGCTTAGGAGATGAAAGAATTTATTGGCTTTTCAAAGTTTTAATATTATTATGAAGACTAAAAATATGTCAGATAAATTGGGGAGTGTGTTGGCTCTTATTTTTAAGAATAAAGGTGATGCACAAGAGTGTGCGAATTATAGAGGATTTAAGTTTATGTCTCTTACATTAAAACTATGGGAGAGTTATTGAGCATATGTTACAACGTGATATTAATATTTCTTAAAATTAATTTGGTTTCATGCCGGGTTGGTCTACTACGAAAGTTATACATTTATTGAGAAGGTTTTACATATCATATTTGTTGATTTAGAGAAAGCATATGATAAAGTTCCAAGAGAAATGCACTTAAGAGTTCTAGAAAAGAAATTAGTTAATAATGCTTATTTGTATTCAAGTCATCAAGGATATGTAGGCATGAGCTGTTACTTTTGTTCAAGCACAATGTGATTTGACCAAATATTTTTCTATTTCAGTTGGATTATATCAAAGATCAGCTTTATGCCTATATTGTTTTTCTTTTGCCATGGATGTTCTTACTAGACATTTGCAAGAGGATGCATCCGCATGTATGCTTTTTGTTGATGATATCATGTTTTTTGATGAGATGCGAGAGGGAGTTGAAGGAAAATTTGAATTATGGAGGTCAACCTTACATTTTGAAAGTTTTTTAGAGTAATTTTAGTAGTAATAGATCTAGTGGAGGAATTGTAATATTGGGCAATCAAGTCATTAAAAAAGAGTACATGTTTTACATGGCTTGGGTCTATTGTTCAAAGTGATGGTGAAATAGATGAGGATATTATTAGTAGAATTCAAGTTGGATGGTTGATGTGGAGGAATGCATCGGGCATGTTGTGTGATAGAAAAATACCCTTCAAACATAAAGGAAAATTCTATAAGATGGTGGTGAGACCTACAATGCTTTATGGTGCAGAATGTTGGCCATTTGAAGAGAAGCATAAAACTAAGTTTAATGTTGCAGAGTTGAGGATGCTCAAATGGATGAGTGGCTTTACTCTTAGAGACAAAATGTGAAATGAGTATATACGTGAAAAGGTTGGAGTAGATCCAGTGACATAAGATTAGAGAGAGTTGCCTTAGATGGTTTGGTCACATTAAATGTTGGCCTTCTGATGACTCAGTTAGGAGAGTAGATATATTAGATTTGATTTATGTTAAAAAAGGTAGAGACAAATCTAAAAAGATTTGTTTAGAAAGTGATGCAGTCAAGAGTTGTTATTTTATATTTTCTTTATTTTATACTTATATTTCTAGCTTTCTTTCTCCAGTGACTTTTAGTTTTTTCTGTTGACCCTTCGTTTTCCCTGTTGGCCCCTCGGTTTCCCTGCTGAAATTCGCTTTCCCTACTATTGGCTCTCACTTTTCCCTATGGCTGTTCGATTTTCTGCTATTGACTGCTTAGTTTTCCCTATGATTGTTTCGGTTTCCTAACTGTTGGTTGTTCGTTTTTTCCCTTTGCTGATTTCCTATGCTAAGTGCTTTAACTTCTTATTATGAGGGTTGTCTTGAAGGGTTTCTATTTGTTGTTTTGGTGGCACATTTATGTAGTCTATTTAATGCAATTTCATCTTCTTTCTCCTAGAAATAATGACTAATTTCCTTTGTGAAAAAGGAGACTTTGAAGAATTTTTGGAATGTGATCATTTAAAACCTGCAAGTTTGCCATAGGTTGCCAGCTATCTTCTTCTCCCTATCCTTCTTATATTTCGTCTCGAACTTCTGTCTATTCTTCTCTCCACGGTTCCTATTTCACTTATATCTTTCTTCTCTAAAACTATTATAAGTTTTAAGTTGTGTCGTGTCTTGTTCTATTATAAGTTGTAAGTTGTGTTAGTACTGCTTTATTGTTGTGTTTGTTTGTGTCATTTAAAGGTTATGTGAATGAAAAAGGAAGTGTGTTTTTATTTACATTCCTAGAGCAAAGTTGGTTCTTAGGTTGTCTCAAAAAGTATTAGAAATGACCTTTTTTTTCTTATTAGAGTTAACTGAGAATGACTCTTAACAAAATACAGTGGAGAAAAAGGATTCATGTAGCCGATCCCACGTAGTGGGATAAAAGCATGGCATTGTTATTGTTGTGTATTTGGATAATTTGCATTTCCATTGAATCAGGAAATTTTTATTTGTCTCAGCTAGTTAGTTCTGTTTTGAAATGGTGCAATTGCTTGCCAATGTACACTGATTTATGTATATGTAGATATGAACAAGCATGATAATATCGGGGCATACTGTCTTTATTTAGTACGCTTGTAAGGTGCTTTATTGATTTCTGATTTGGTTATGCTTTTTTTGTTCAGATTCTTGATACCAATCCACAACTATATTTCCATCTACAACAGCAAAGACTGATAGAATTAATACGATATGGAAAAGTAGAAGAGGCTCTCGAGTTTGCACAGGAAGAGCTTGCACCAAGAGGGGAGGAAAATGTACGGACCTTTAATCGTTTGCTTACGTCTCTCATGCTTATTTCTCAGGAATTCTTACATAAGGCTTTTTTTTTCTTGTTTTTGCCAAGACAATCAAAATATCATTTAATTTATTTAAAGTATTTTTGCTGCTGCAGATATATTGTTCTTTGATCGTGTTTTGTATATTTACTTCGATGATGAAACAGAATGACCGTGAGATGCCTTTTTAACTTCGGGCTTCTAAAGTAAATTAATTTCTATTGTAGCAAAACTTTTTGGAGGAATTGGAGAGGACAGTTGCCCTGCTAGCATTTGAGGATGCAAAGAATTGTCCCTATGGTGAACTTTTGGATGTGTCACAGCGGTTAAAAACTGCAAGTGAGGTGAATGCTGCCATATTAACAAGTCAGAGCCACGAGAAAGGTGGGCACCAGTTGATATTGACCCTCTCTCTCTAGCTCTGTCATATTGAATTTCTTCTAGTTATTTGAAACCATGTGAATAATTGCTACTTTTCTGCATCTTCAATTTTTTTCCCTGGTCTCTTCTTCAGATGATTTGACCTGATTACCCAGTTTATTGGAATTTCTAAGGCTTTAGTCCCAGTTTGGAAGCAAGTCCAGTAAAAATGCCTTCCTTTTTCTTGCTTGTGTGGAGAAATATTTCATCTACTTACTTTTTTAGTTTGATTGTCTCTTAATAAAATACTTGTCCTCTTAGTTAAAAACGAGAACTTAATTAGGCTGGAATGATTTTAGTTTATTGCAATTGCAAGTAACTCGTGCTTTTTGTGTTTGTTGTGTAAGGGTTTTTTGTGTCTTAATTATTAAATATAAGAGCCTTAAATCTAGCCATATAGGATGAATATAAAAGAAAATAAATAAAAAGGAAAATATTCATAAATAAGTATATTCCCTAATTTGATATTCTTCCAATATAATTTTTTTTTTAATTATTTTTCCTAACATACATCATATGCCTACACTCTCTTACAAGATGGAGCATATATAATTGTTAGGATCAACCTATTACTTGACGATAAAATGGTGATAACCCAAGGTTTTGGTAAAGAAATCTCGCTTATTCTGTATTGGAGACATAAGGTAATAATTATCTTGGAAAGCATGACATCATGTATGAAATGACAAAATAATGCAAAATGTTTGGTTCATTCATGAAAAATAAGATTGATGGCAATATAGATGATAACATGATTGTCATTGTATACTATTATAAGCGATTAAGCGGAGTAATGAAAATGAAATTCCCATAAAAAAATTTATACCCACAACATTTTGCATATTGAGTGAGCCATCGCTTTGTATTCACCCTTAGTTATAGATCATTAGATCTGGTCACAACAGTTAATTATTATTTTTTATGTGTGTGGCTTGGATACCTCCAACAAAAATGCAACATCATGAATTGAATTTTTTTATTTTCAACAAAGATATCATATTCAACATAAAAAAAAATATTTTAATATTCAAGTACTCAATTTTAGTTTCGAGTAACCATTTTTCAAGAGGCTTTTTGATACATTTGAGAACACATTTAACTTCTTAATTCTTTTGTTTTAGATTTTTTGCATGTCTTGACTAACATATCCAACAACGAATGAGATAGGCTGGGTAAACATTCCTGTAAATCAATTTGCCAATGAAACTTCAATACTAAGATGGGTGATCTAGTAGCTCTTCATGATCATACATGGACTAAATCTTTATAAGGGTATTAGCTGGCTTGAAGTAAAAATGATCAGTTTCTTCAAGAAGATTAGTACCGTACTTTCTCTGTGATAGGGATTTTTTTTTTCTATTTGTAGATTCAACTCCAAGAAAATATTTAGATCATCATAGATCTTTTGTGATAAGATACTTTTGCAGGTCGTGTTTTAATTTTGAGACGCCATTATATTGACTACTTGCAATGTGCAAGATGTCGTCAACAAAAGTAGCAAGTGTGATAGAGCCTGAGACAGTATATCAAATGAAGATAGAATGATTTGTGGTGTTATTATGAATGTGAATTTTAATAAGGATCTTGCAAAATTTGTCAAACAAAACCCTTGGTTTGAAACCATAAATATCTTCCCAACTCAAGTAAACATGCATGATTGATACAACTCATACGAAATTAACCAAGGTAAGTTATAGTAATTTGAAACATGGCCGGTATTGTAAATCTTCTGAAATCCTTATCCAGAGTCCATGAGTGAAGGCCTTAAATAAATGGTACAAAAAGCCTGTGTACAGGAGGTGTATTCTATATCATAAATAACACATAAAAATTGCAGGAATAAAAGCCCAGGCCTGAGACGCATGGATATGATAGCGGTATGAAGAACCGTATGAAGTTCAAAAGCCATGCTTGAAGTCCAATCCATGAGGCAAGCTGGTTTCAGGCACTTGTAGCAGGCGATAAGGTAAAACAGCAAGAATAAAAAAAACAAAATCATACACGACTATACTGCAGCATCCAAACCCTTATAACTTTCCAATACTCACATAATAACAGCCACATATTTAGATATGGCTTGAATTCTAGTACTGAACCTAGGATCCGCCATGAACTGAACTAGCCCAAGCCCACCCGAAATCACATAGAACAACCTACCACTAAGAAATCAAATTAATTCAGACACTTCCTGTTTTTATGGGTGCTCATCATAAGCATGCGCAAAATACTTAAATTAAAATTTTAAAATAAAATAAAACTGCTCAAAATAAATTTGTTCAGGTCAGTTATTCAATGGTCATTTCTATGAAGATCTCCATTAAAATTCAGGTTAATAATCTCCACACCAAAGAGGTTAAATTACAATGGCTACAACATGAGCCCCTGTGCATGTAAATGAAAAGTAATGTCTGACACCAGAATTCAAAGTCTGAGGGGGAACATGCAGTCCAAAATACTCTTTTCTAAAATATAAATTACGTCATTTCAGGTATGAAGCTAGTTCTCTTCAACTAAGCAATTTTTAGTATTAGAAAGGTAGAATGCTCTAAACAGTTACAATATTCTAAATTAAATGAATTTGTAAGGAATAGGAACTTTTCCACAACAAAAAGTCTCGTCTCTTTTTTTGTTTGATTGGTCTACCCTCTCTTATATAGCCACTTGGACAGTTTGTGAACGTTTTTGTTATCTTATTCAGTTCTTTTCTTTTTATCACCTGGACCCTTTCATAATCATCACAATCATCTTCACCCGGTTTGTGGTGACAAAGGTTGGAGAGATTATGACGGGTGGTCATCATATCGTTTGGAGGTTAATCAGGATGCGCCACGTCACCCGATACACAGTAACGGTCCACAACGTATTGGTGATGTGGAACATCTTGATTGGCCTCTAGACGGCGTTTGGTGACTGCACGTAATAATTTCGCCAAAGGTTCGGTCATGTTTATGCTTTATAATTTGGATACCTATATTTAATATAGCTGATTTGTTGAGTAAATTTTGACCAAGCTAACCTCGCCCCAGCCTTTTTCATACCAAATCCTTTCAGTTTCATTGCCGTTGTTTTAGAAAATTGCTTACTTGCTGTTACGTCCTGGAATATTCGCGGCGGTAGAGAAATATATGGTTTAACGTCTTAGTATTGTATGAAGATCCAGCACACAAACAGATAAGAGAGGGGGTGAAACATTCATAAGAGACACCAGAGTTTTTACGTGGAAAACCCCTAAAAAGGGGGAAAAACTACGGGGCCTGGCCCAGTTTGAATGAATCCACTAGTATTTGCAGTCGATTACAAATGAGGCCCTTCCTTGGGAGAAGGCCTTGGATTGATGTAGCAAATGTACATCATATAGATTGCATTACATGGTAGGAGTTACATATACATGTTTGTTTGGCCTGAAGGACCGTAGTCGGCAGGAGACCGTAGTCGGCAGGAAACCGGGGTCAGAAAGACTGTTGTTTGTTGATGGAGGTTGGAAGGACCATAGTAGGCGACGAATGCCTGAAGGACCGTAGTCGATAGAAAACTGGGGTCTGAAAGACCGTTGTCTAGTGATGTTGGTCGGACGGACCGTAGTAGGCATCAGAGGTCAGAAGGACCGTAGGCGGTAGGAGATAAGGAGTCAGGTGTTAGACCCAGTGTCACTTGGAAGATCGGGTGTTGATGGTCTGGCCTTGGGTAGGACGTCGGGTCTGAACGTCGGGCCTTAAGCAGGACGTCGGGTCTTCAGCGGGACGTAGGGACTGAACATCGGGCCTTAAGCGGGACGTCGAGTCTTAAGCAGGACGTAGGGACTGAACGTCGGGCTTAAGCGGGACGTTGAGTCTTCAGCAGGACGTAGGAACTGAACGTCGGGCCTTAAGCAGGACGTCGGGTCTTCAACAGGATGTAGGGACTGAACGTCGGGCCTTAAGCAGGACGTCGGGTCTTCATTTGGGCTCGGATTGGGTCGAACTTGGTGTCGTTAGATTCGTATTTCCGAGACGCTCAGTTTGACTATAAGCTCACTGAAATCGGAGTTCACGTGATCCCGAATTTAATTTTTGATGTTTCCAACTTGATTCTGCATCGAGATTCATGCTCGATCAGGATAAATTCGTGATGACGTATCACTTGCATTGATGGATTTTTGAATTTATTTGTTATATGGTTTATTGGGATCTGAATACCTATAAATCTTTTTCATGTGCATAAAAAATTCTAGGACAATCATGTTCCGGTAAATGTATAGATGACTTCCATCGAGATTAAATGAGAGCTACTATCTTTGAATTGATCACAACCTTAATTTTACCTACTGCACGTACTGCTCTAACCGATGCTGGCACTCCAGCCAATATAGCTTCCCTTGTTTTATCTGGAAGCTGATTTTAGTCTGTCTATTCATATGGTTCTAACTTGTTTCAACTTTCAGATCCAAAGCTTCCAAGCTTGCTAAAGATGCTTATATGGGCTCAAAACCAGCTTGATGACAAAGCAGCTTATCCTCGTATCAATGATCTATCCACAGCAACACTAGAAGAGCCGGCCATCTAAAGTGGAAGCTTTCAATACTCAAAATATTGGAAACCAGGTCAGATGCTTCGATTTTTCATTGGATGGAGTGATGGGGGTTTATGTGAAATTTGAATCCCGAGCCACATTATTTAGTTTTAAGGTGACATTTCTCTGCTGCAATCATGATGTACAAGTTGTGTTGTGACTACGTTTTTTTTTTTTTTTTTATGTTCCCTCAAAATATATAGACTATAAACTTTATAAATATTTATTCCGTGATGACGGACTTCAATTCTACTTCTAACTTGAGATGTGTTAGTACCATGTAGTTCTTTATGTCCTTTACTATTATTATTATTATTATTCTTCTCTTTTTTCCATGTCCTTTATGCTTGTTTATTTGTATGACAAATGTATAAGTATTTATCACTTAGATTTATTTTAAATAATAAATAACCCGAGTCCTGATCAACCTACTTTAACAAAAGCTTTAAATCAACCCCTCTTTCTGCCTCCCATTCCGTTAACTAAAGGGATTCTTAGGCTTCATTTGGGGCGGCTTTCTGCTACTCAACGTGTAGTTCAAAAAAATAAAAATTTTGTAAAAAAAGCTGCTTTATGAAGCAGTAAGAAAGTTGTCCCAATGAAGCCTTAGTCAATAGTGCTGTTAGATCAGTTCAGCCTTTAAGGCTTCGTTTGGGACGGCTTTTTTTATTGTTTTTTAAAACGGAGTTGTAGTACAAATTTTTTAATTTTTGTACTAAAACTCCATTTTCAGAAGCAATAAAAAAGTCGTCCCAAACGAAGCCTAAGTTTGATTGAAGACATCGGGGAGTCATTTTGGAGATGATTAATAGAATGACAATGTGTGTTTAACATTTGAACTTTTGGTAATTGTGGATCTCCCAGATGTATGCGATTGCCATTCCAATCTCTATAGTGAAGTGCTTTTAGAAGCCCAGTGGATCATGCCTGCTTAGTTTAGATATGTGATGGTCAGTATATTCTTTTTGTGAGTTTTTTCCCTTCATTTGTTTGGTCTTTGGTCTTTATTAATTTTATGACAAATGTCAGAGGTTAATATGTCATTTTCCTTTTTAAGATAGAGCTAGTTTGGTACATCTTTAGTTTTATAAGGCTAGTTTTGACATTTGAAAGAAAATTTAAATAGTAGCCATTGTCGGCAAATTTGATGATCATTATAATGAAAAATGGGATTTTTTTATGCGTGAAGATCTTAGATTCTGTTAGGGATTGTGTCATGCTTCCCCTCTTCGTACAAGATCTAAAAGAGTTGTGTAGGACAACGCATCATTCATGGAAAAACTCATTACACCATGAAAAATGGGATTTTTTGATGCCACAATAGGGCCATAATCACATTCGGTGAACAAGCAAATTATCTACTATAAACATGCTAAGTTAACTCAGTAAGTTTGAAAATTGACTTAGGCATCATTTGGGACGGCTTTTTTATTACTTCTTAAAGCAGGTTCATGATATAAAAATTAAAATTTTTGTACGAAGTAGCTGCTTTAAGAAGCAGAAAGAAAGCCGTCCCAAACGAAGCCTAATACCATGCACACTGAACATTTGTTTAAATAGGCAAAGTAGGAGCTAGGTTAGTGTTAATCTAGCTATTTTCCTTGAGTTCGAAAATGACATAAATAGTCTCATGGGAACTACTTGGAGAAGTGAAGAAGAACAAACACCAAAAGGGAAGAACAGTAAAAAATGCTCTAATAATAATAGCCTATGGTCAGTGCATACACCTTTCTGTAACTTCTACCTTCCGCCTGTTCCTGCTCTTGCAAAATTTGTGGAGCATCCATTCCTCTTGAATGGCAGCCTCCATCATCAAAGTTCAGTGCATAACTCCAAGGATCATAGTTGAAACTACTTTGCTTCTTTTCTTTTTGCACCACTTTCTTCATGATTGCTCTCATCTTCCATATAAAGCAGCTGCAAAGCTTTTTACTCCCTCTATTCGCAGATGGGATCCTTCCTATGTTGCACATTCTCCTCTGCTTTTAGACAATTTAAGGCATAACATTGAGAGAGAACAAGAAGGTTTGTGTGACAATTAACAGTAGGAAATGCTTACTTTTGTTACTGTACGCCCAGATGGAGGAGAAAGAAAAAGAGAGAGAGAGAGAGCACCAGAAGGTTTACTGTTGTGTTGTTTACTGTTCTATGCTCTCCCTTTTTATCAAGTCTTCTGGTGCTCAAAGATGAGTACATTTCCTCTATTGGCTCTTTATAAGGATTGTCATGGGGCCCAAGTGAAAGGAGAGTATTTCTATGCTAACCCATCTTCAGCTACTTAAAATAATTTTTATAATAACAATGCATAAACTTGATATATATATACATATATCAGATTTAAATGAATCTTGAGAACAATATTGATTGAGTTAATTAGAATCTATGCATAAAACGATTCAATACATAAACGCAAGATTATTAAGCTCTCTCTTTTTCTCTCTATTTTAGAGTTTGTTTGGACAGGTTTTTGTATTATTTTGTTTTTTTATGATTGATGCAATTATGTTTGGCTATAATTTATTATGTGGCATCTTTTAAAAGTTTTTATGACGGGAAGATATTTTTTTTTATAATTAAATTTTCGGAAATATGATAGTGATAAGAAAATTGGTATTTTTTACTTTATAGTAATTTATTAAATTTATTTTTTTTCATAATAAGTTTATAATTATTTTTCGCCTCAAGTAAACTCCTAATGTCAATAAATAGAGAGTTTGTATGGGATAGTTGGGGGTAGGGGTGCAAACAAGTCGAGTGGAGCCTGCGTCAGGCCTGACTTGAGCTTGACCCGTGAGTCAAATACTGAGCTTGAACTCTAGCTCAAACTTGAGTCGAGCTTAAAAGACGAGCTCGAGCTTGACTCGTGCGGTGAAAATGAACTCGTGAGCCAAATCCGCGGTCCACCGGTTCGTTTCCGCTATAAGCACGTGAGGGCGTGGTTTGCCGTCGAAGGCATGTTTTGCCTTCTGCCATGCGCAGATGCACTTTCGGCTGACCTTCTGCCTTCCGTGTTTATTGAGCCAATCATCATCCAAGCTCGAACTCGAGCTCAATAATCTAACAAGCTCGAAATTCGATAAGCTCGACTCATGAGCTCATTAACGAGTTGAGTTTGAGCCGACTTACGAGTTGATTTGACTCGGTTGCACCACTAGCAGGGGGCAATATAGAATTTTTCAAAAAATAAAAGCTTTTTTTTTGCGTCTGGAACTTGTCAATGTGATAGATGAAAAGACCGTAAAAAAAAAAGCCCATGCTTAGTCCGAGAGATGTGCAGCTGCAGTATTTTACGAGCCGAAGATCTCTTTCTGCGTGGCAGAGGCCACATGAGGATTTAGAGGATTCTTGTATCCTGCTGGCACATGCGTGATTCTGTCCTATCACTGTAAAACTTTGAGACCCATTGAGTGACTTTTGATGCTTTGATCCTCTGTGATTCTCGCACCATGATCTATCAAATCATTGTGATTGCTTCTTTTACTGTTGACTGTTCTCACCACTGGATTATGCAGTCTTATTGTTTTTTTTTTTTTTATGTTTTTTTGGGATATTTAGGCCATTTAAGGCAAACTCACACACACAACGCATACACAAAGACTCGAACTTAAGACCTCTTAGATGGAAGCATAGGCTCTCAACCAACAGGTCAAGATGAGTTGTGTAGTTTTTTTTTATGTTTCACGGGTCTGTAATAGATCAAACCCTGAGGGAGGTATATAAAAGCTTTGTGTGAATTTTATTGGGAGTTCAAAAACTTACCATTGCCTTCTTTGAAGAAAGGATAAAAAGCTATGCCACCAAACTTACTGGCTATTATATTTAGCTGATTATTGTCTATCTTCCAAAGAGGTGTAGAGAGCTCATGTATCCTTAAAAAGGTCTCTTTTTTTTTCATATGATTTGTAGCAGTCCATATTGAATCACTGCACAAGATGGTTGTCGACCATCAACTTTTTAGTTCAACTAGACAAATCTTTCGACTAGGCTAAAAATAGAGTTTCATGATCAATCAGGGAAAGACTTAGATTTTTTTTTTTTTGGGCAATTTTTAATTGTTTTCTAAAGCATCTTTTTAGTACATAAATTTTTAATTTAAGAAATTTTTATATAAAAAAACTGTTTTATAAAGCAATAAAAAGATTGTTCGGAATGAACCCTTACTATTCAATTAAAACTTTTATTGGACTAGAAAATCATGCAAGTTAACCAAGAACTAGGGGTGTAACCAAGTCAAGTTGACTCGCGAGCCGGCTCTGGCTCGACTCGGTAACAGACTCGTCGAGTCGAGTTTATTGAGCTCGCGAGTTGAGCTCGAACACGATTTTGAGCTTGATGGCTTATCGAGCTTGAGCTCGAACAAACATATGCTAGACTTGTCGGCTCAATGAGCAGCTCGACTGCGGAACTAGTGATCGGGCGGGAAAACAAAATTTTGTTTTGGGCGGTCGGGATGGGCCGACGGGAGGTTGACTCGAAGGCCGGGAATCAAAATGACGGAGTTTGCTCGACGATGGAACTGGAGATGACAACGGTGGTATTTGCGTTGCTCGACCGCGGAACTTGGAACAACCGAGCAAAGCTCTAAGACGTAGCTCGGAACAATAGAGATCAGAGGCTTGGAGCTCACGTGCTTCTACGAAGCTCGACATGATGACAAATGACGCAGCTCGATGACATAGCTCAGGACGATGGAGGTCAGAGGCTCGAAGCTCGTGTGCTTCAACGGAGCTCGACGGGATGATGGAACTTGCGCCTTGGCACGACAAGCTTGCGGTTTCGACGGAGCTTCATGAGACGACGATCGACGGAGCTCGGGACGACATAGCTCGGGATGATGCTCGACGACAGAGGGTAGGGAAGGGGAGGTCGTTGAGCCGCTTGACTCGAATACCCCCTGGCTTAAGTTCAAGCTCGACTCGTTTGCACCCCTACCAAAAACACAAATGTTTATATTCTTTGGGCCACCACATCTATATGGATGAATGATAGCAAAGAAAATGCGGGGTAAGTGCCTGCTCTTTTTATTTTACAAAGGATTAATGTTATACTATCCCTTCCACAATTAATCCTCACGTCAGTGATTCTTTGTTATATTTCTGATTGCAGTTTGCTTCATTCTCCTCTGACAACAGGAGGTAACTTTACAGGAATGTAATAAATGATTCTTTTCACATATTTGTATTCTTCTCCTTGTTTTTTGTTTTATTTTTTCCGTCCTCCATTAATGCACTGCGTCTTCAAACCGGAGAGCTTCCCATGTCCTTTTTGGTAGAGTCTCCTCGTTCTGTCTTTGTTC